ACCTACATGTATTGAAAGATATTAAAAATATTTTAAACAATATTAACTTCTCATTTATTCAATAAGAGAAAAAAAATTGTTTTCTTATCGGTCACCACGCTCAAAAAGTGTAACTTGATTTAATATCAAAGACTTAACTGCATAAATAAAATAAATAAATAATTATAATTGCATAAGTTGATAAAAAATGCTATGCAATAGCTTTACCGCGGCAGTCACCGAGTGCCACACGTATTTTTTTTTGTTATTGTTTTGTGACGTTTTGTATATTATCACTAGTATGAAATCGAGTTCATCGACATGAAAATCTCATAAAGACTTTACGTCACCACGAAAGAAGCGGAAAGTGTCGCATATTTTGGAAACCGAAAAAATAATGATTGTAAACATCTATAAGTATATAAAAGAAACGTGGTCTTGTGATATATATCCATCCAAAACGGATATGAAATAGAAGACTGCTGATATTTTAGGTTGTAATCAATGTGACGGACTCTTCTACGTCTTCATCATCATAAAATGATTCTGAAATAAATACAGATGAATAGTGTGTCAAGCGTCTCTGACAATCTATTATGAGAAGTTTTATGCACGCTTCAAGGTTGACTGCTTAAGAATGCTTAGCATTAAAAGTTCGTCTTTTTACCTGACTGCCAAGGAGTGATTATGTTTTATACAACTACCTACCTACCTACTTATTAAAGTACTTACCTACTATTAACGTAATAATTAAAATTGTAATAACTCATGACCTATAAATAATAAACATAAATTAATATTAATTTGATTTTTAATTCATTTAGGTACAGGACAATCTTCTTTCTTTATTATATAATAATAGACATAGGGCCTGTAAAGAACTTCGCACTCGGCACCCTTATCTTTCACTCTGATGATGGATGTAATGATAAAGGATAAAAAAATGAACATAAACAAAAAAGATTGCCTACCCCGATGATATCGTCAAAGGTCAATGTACTTTTTTTCGCCTGTCCTAGAAACGTACTTATATAGGGCATAGATCAGGCACTCTAACAAATTATTTGGTGACGAAACGAGTGAAGTTTCTTCTTCGCTCTAATAGATGGTGTTTGGATTATAAATTACCTAAAATTAAACTAGAGGGCGCTGTCAACTTGGTTGGTAATTATTTCGTATATTTAATAAATAATAGGTAATGTTCATAATTAGAAATTAATTAGCTATACAAAATTTTCTGTGAGTTACTCTGTGTATTAAATATAATTTATTTGTATATATACCGCAAGATTTCAAAATTTTGATAGCGTGATTTAGGCTTCGGTATAAATGATAAATCTTAGCAATTATTTATTAGTTAGTGCCATTTGAGAAAAATATGTAATAATAGTAGAGAAAATAGTTTTTACGACTGTGAGATGATGCTAGTATCAACGTAAAAAAAGGTACTGAAGACTTTTATACCCCTGGCCTACAACGCGCTAGCCCCGACTGCGTAGTATAGTGCGTACGCAGCCCGGGCCGCCTCGCGATTGTAGGTACATTATTTCTCACAGGTAGCAAGAGTTACAGAGGTCTGCCTAAAACGCGGAGTGAGACAGACCTGGTTTTAGTGCCATTTAAACGATAATTTGCAACGTTTAACCACTTTACTAACTTAGATAGGTATAGCATTATTTACTTCGTCATAAATAAGACACAGAAATATCATCTGCAAATAATACTATATCATGGTTATCACCTAGGTACTATGTAAGTCGTTAATATATACAAGAAACGTTTTTATACGTGGTAGAGCCATACTGCAGTTATATTAGTAGCATAGTTGAAGCACGAATGGGTCGGCTCGACCGGGGAAGGACCACGTTTTCACAGAATACCAGCGTAAAATAGCGGCTCAACACTGCGAGTGTAGACAACCGGAGAGACGTCTTTCACTGGGGTTGTCCCCATTCGAGTTCCATTTTATGCTGATTGAAAATTTGAAAGTATCGATGATAATTGATAATACAATAGTTAAATAAGTTTATCCTTGAATCCTGATCAGCATCAGCAGGATAGAATAAAATAATTAATCAGGATCATCACAGCTCACGAACATGTTGTTTCGTGTTAAGTTTTTTTAAAGTTCTTATGTTATCTATAAACTCCCTCAATGCGTATCATGCACAACATGAAAGCCATCGGTCCGAGACTGTATTATGGATGCCCTATCTGGAGGAAAACTGGTTCCTTGTAATATATTAGGTGATGTGCCCCGTTAACTTCATAGCTAAACACAGGAAAAACGACATGCGTTCCGCCACGGTTCGTTGTTGGCATATTTTTATATGTGGTAGAGCCACGCTGCAGCTATATTATGGTTGTAGCAGAAATGGGTCGGCTCGACCGGGGAAGGACTACGCCTTCACAGAATATCCGCGTAAAATAGCAGCTTAATACAGCTGTGTTTCGTATGGTGAGTGTAGAAATCCGGGGACCCTATTTTACTGAAAACGAGGCAATCCATCTTAGTCCTCAAGGGTGACAACGCATCCGCGTTTTGATACTTAATTGAGGATAAATGTAGATGTCTATGGGCCACAGCACCCACTTACCATCTAGTGGTCTGTGCGCTCGTTTGTCACCCTTATTCTACAAAAAAAAATATTATTGTGCTCTAATCTCAATTCGTTCCATCTGTTCTCAAAGTGGCAAACATGTCTAGGTACGGATCCTGTCTCGAACCAGTTTTCTTTATCATCAATCTAAAATGACTTACATAACAGATTATTTTTCTTTGATATGTCCACCCATACCCTCTTGATTTTTTCTCTATTCACGGTGTAATCATTGCTCTTGTAGTGAACATTGTATGAGATGGTTGCCGTTCTCTGCTTCATATTCGTCACAAGAATATGTTGTACCCTACTTTACTTACGGTGATAAAACAATAGATTTAGTAGGCATCTTTGACCTTGTCACTTCGCAGCGTCACAGGCTAGGGTAGTAATTGATTTGAATTTTGATAGATTTTAATTAATTAATTTATTTAATTATAAAAATAACTTCAACGATCAATTCAAAAATTTTGTTAAACCAGTTTTTTTGTAAAATATCTGTGCCATAGGCTTCTACTCCGTTCACGTTACACGCTATTTTTTTCCAGATGGTAAAAAAGGTCATTCAATATCATCCCGAGATCGTAGTGTCGTACAGAGGCGAAGCTTCCCATCCTTAGCCTTCTTACTTCCTCATTAAAGCCGAAAAGAAGGGTTTGCCTTATCAACCCTGAATCAATCAATAATATCAACTAATAAAATAACTCGTAAAATGTTTCAAGCTATTTCAAATTTCTCGCGCACTCCACTGTTGACACATGTCGACCGATGACCTTGTATTAATAGAGCTAATAGTTGTCTCCCTCGCTCGCGTGGGCTTTTTACGGGGCTTTCGAGAAGACGATCGCTCTCTTTCTAACCTATGGCAAAATATTCTATAATGAAATATAACTACGATTGTATATATAGCAATTAGTATGGAGATTTAAAGCCAGGCTTTTGGGAATAAATTTGTTAAAAGCGGAGGCGCGCGGGCAATACGTTTGCAAGTTCATTTCACGTTTCAATGTTTATTTACTCTGTGTGCTTATCTTAATATTACGAGTTCAAAATTTATGCTTTTTTAAAGATTTTTAATGAAAATGGAGGATAATAGTGTTCCTTGTGATGAATTGAAGTGTGTTAAAGTGATAATCGGAGAGGAAATCTTTAAACTTTGTTGAGATAATACACAAGGTTAAGAGTGTATTTCAGACTTATCAATTATCGCAATTAAAAACAGTTATTGGTACAATTAAAACGTTCACCAACATTTTACGTGGACGTAATTAAATCTTTCCATAAGAAAGCGAGACGATTCCACTTATCTTATCTCTTATCCATTAGAATGTAAATAATTTTTTTTTTAATTTTGTACATAGTTTGTTTGTACTTTGTTCGTATTTTACTTTTGTTCATGTATTGTATTGGATGTAAATATTTTTTTTCTTTCGCTTAAACAAACCCAAACGGTTTTCTTCAAAGCCACCGAAGCTATGCAATTGCTGATATGTAATACAATCTATCTAGCAGTGGTATGCCTTCCGTGTGCTTTGTTAAACACGTCCTTGACAGCACTGAATATGAAACTGAAGCGTGGAGACAGATCGAGATTGGTGTATTTTTATAAAACTGCTAAAAACAACAATCTATATTTTTTTATCAATTTATATCTTGGGCTTGCCCTAGCTTGGAGCCCAAGCTTCGCCACTGGTGTCGTAAGAGGCGATAGAGGGAAATTGGAACACGAGATGGGCAGCAGTATTTTCCTAATCACGATTAAAAATAAAAATCTGTGATTGCCATCCTACATTCCAAGCTTGGCAACTATGGCAAAATCTCCCCTATGAGGTAATCTATGGGGGAGGCCTATGTTCAGTAGTGGACTTTTATAGACTGTAATGGAATGGATGGATGGCCAAATGTAGAACTGTCTGTCTGTAGAACTTTCTGTGTATACCTACACAGAAATCTTTGAAAATATCAGTTTCCTAACAGTATTTTTAGAAATGTTTCAATCCTGAATAAAACAACTTTGATAAGAAAATGTGGTGTAAAATAATTTTTTTTATATATTTTTTGAGTAACAAAATCTGGAATGAAGTTTAAATTATGAAGATTGTATTGACCATAAAAAAATCTTTTTCACACGTTTCATACACACTTAAACTATCTACATAGAGGAATTTATTTCATGTCTTTAGTAATATATGTAGGTATTATTGTTTTTATTATCTTTTCCCAGTCAATTATTTTAGGTATGTGGTTTTAATAGAGCTCTGGTTTTAGTTTATTCATTTCACATCTTAAAGCAAAGAAATGCTATAAATTTGTTACAATAAATTTGCCTAAATTTTTTTGAGTTACTTAAAAGTAAAACAGTTTTAAATAATAGAATGTCATGACTCTTATGCTAAGGCTTAACAAAAATATGTACATAACTTATGATCTATTCAATAGAGCTTGCATAAGACTCTTCCTGGTACCACCAGCAGATTTGAAAGCAATCACTGCTGTAACTATTAACACAATATAAGAAGGTATAATTGTATTAGCATAGAACTCGTTACGGTTTAGTAAACTTATTCCAGAAACAAGAAAATGTGAGCCAACCACCCAAACAATTTTCATATAGTTTTTCTCATCAAGACCGCTGAAGAATATGATACTCCAAAAAGTGTTGAGGAGTATCATGCACAGAGTCATTGCTGAACTTGTTACGAAAAAGAATTCTGTTCCATTATGAAGCCCTAATGTCCCTGGACCAACCTGGAAAAAATGAACACAAAAAGTACTTAAAATGAATTAAATGAATTGGATGCTTTTATTATGATAATTGGGTATGGTATCTCCTTACCCTGGCATTATTGAGGCATTATTACCTTTAATAGGAGATCTCAGCATTTATTATAACTAGTTCGGTGATTATGAAAAACACGGTAGTTTTTTTTAATTACTTTGAGCTCCATTACCATTGATTGTGTAGTCAGTGTAAGAATGTCTACCCCATATCGTCCCATGGGTGTCGGTAAGAGGCGACTAAGCACGGCTCCGTAGCACAGTGGCTTGGCATTTAGCTACAATGCAGGTTCAGATCCTATACTGAACAAGTATTTGTATGTCTGTTTTAATCAGAGTCTGGATATTTGTCCTTGTGCAATTTACTTATGTAAACCACAATACAGGAGAAAATGCTAGTGTGTGATCCTAGTAAAATTTTTTAGTTATAAAAATTAATTAAAATAAACTACCATTAAACAAATCAGCAAATATCAACATTCCCGAATTGCAATAATCTTTATATAAATTATTTTATATAACATTTAAAAATAATAAAACTTACGGAATCAGCAAGTACATTGACAAGAGCAAAAGCACCACTCATGGTTCCAAAACCAAGTCCAGACACATATGCCATCTCCATTTTGTTAGATCCAATGTCATGGTTTTCAGAGATCTCTTTTAATCCTGCTTCAGTTTTTCTGAGCAGGCGGTACATGCCATAGCGGAATGCCTCCTAAATAAATTTTAAATTATTAATTTTAAGTTTTAAAGTTAAAGTAACAGCCTATGTATGTTCTACTGCTGGGCACAGGCCTCCTCTCATTTCTGAGAGGGCAAGGAAGTGCCCCGCTTACCCCAAAGAAAGTTGACAACTTCACATGTCTTTGAAATATATTTTTTATCTTATTTCTCAAACATGCAGGTTTCTTCACAATGTTTACCTTCACCACCGAGCATTCATCAGCACTTAAAATTGCAATTAACAATTTCAGCATTGCCAGCAGGGATCGTACCCGGGTTGCTCTCTTACGGTGAAATTTATAGAGAGCACTAAGCATCTGCGCTACCACAGCTACATAATGACGTGAAGAAATAAATAAAGGCATGAAAGTGATGTGACAAGATAAGTAAAGACACGAAAATTAGAGAAATGTGATTTAAAGTTGTAATGATTATTGATTACAAAACTTAATTATGTTCATCAAAATTTGTTACAAAATGAAACTTAATTAGTTTATTACTGGTGCACCTACCCTAGACAGTAAAGTGTACTTTCATGTAATGCATGCAATGGTCTCATAAATATTTTACCAAAATCCAATGATAATTTAACTCAGTTTATATATTGAAGTGAAAACTTCTTTAGCATGGTTGTGATTTGAAATTCAACGAAACGAAAAAGCGACAGTAAAAAGAGACAGACACATAAATTCATAAGATTTAACGTGGGAGAAAATGAGATAGGAAGCATTATAGCTCAATGCTCGCGAGAAAAAAGTCGTAAACGCCGCCGAAACCACATGAATACAGATGTAACGCAACAAATGAAACGGCACAGAGTAAGGACATCAGCGGTCGCTTACGCATTTTGTTCAACAAGGTACGAAGGTGTCGTGTGCCTATGGAATAAACAAGCAGCCAGGCTAGCATGGACAGGAGACTAAAATTTTATCCCCCGATTCCACTGACAAGTGATAAAATCACCTTATCCCTACTGCCAGAGTTTTATCCACCCCGCGAGCATGGGCATATGGTGGATATAATATCCACAGCATATAATAGGAAAGAAACATCCCGTATCCACGCGCGTACAAGGAAGCAAAGCGGGACGCCACGAAACTGTGACGCTTCCGCAGTAAAAAATTCGAAAAGTGGTAAAAAAGTTAACGGATTTCAGTGTTCTTCGTGTCAAAATTTGCGTATTAACGAGACGTATCTAGTGGTGTAATTTGTTTTAGCCCCAAAAAAGTTTTTAGTTATTTTTCAAGTGAATACCGTTTTTTCTCATATTAGCAAAACAGTAAATCGCGTGCGGCGCTCGATTAGTCGCCACAACCTACTATTTTTTTTAGAGATTTTTGTGCACCATCTGGGGACACATCATCCTCCAAAAATATGGAATTTTTGGATAAATTACACCTGAGTTATTAGAGTAAAACCGAAAACCACGGGGTAGGTGATTTCGCGAACCAGGCGTTTGCGGCTGGAGTTGAAGGTGTTGCTCGCAGCGTCTCGAAAAGCTCTTTCCGAAAATAAATGCATCATCAGCCGGAAGTGTATATCCTCGGAATAACCACACTTTTGCAATTGATGTCCCACATCTTGTAAGTTTGGACTCTAATAACTTTTATTTTTGAGTGACGACCCCCCTTAATTTTTTTGGATATAGAGGAGAAACTCATGCCCTTACTGTGGGTGAAATTTCAAATTTTTCAGATAAGCAGTTTTTAATAGTGAATTTTTTTGTAAAACATCCCTTTTCGCCATTCCATGATACATTTGTTTTGCGTGTAGTGGCGTAGTGGCTAGCTAAACTGCAAGCGTGATTTATATCTATTTTACAATTTTTTTCTTTTGTTTACTTTATGTCATGCCCAACCTGTTATTATTCTATTTTTGTTATAACATATCTGCACGTTGTTAATTTTACATATTAGCTTTTGTATATTGAGACTCAATAGCTCAATGGTTAAGGGGTGACTACAATCTGAAAGGTTTAACCGGGATGACAATAGTCTCATGGGGCCACCTGTTATTTCTGGGGGAAAGGGTAATATAAGATGAATATAATACTACTATTCTTTATTTAGAAAAAACTTGATTATTAAGTTTTAAGTTTTTTAAAATCTCTATAACTTGTTTGCTATTACCAGTTGAACAATTATTGTAGACTGCCCTTTTCTTATACTAAACCCCAGTCTGGAATAGGCATGAGTCGGATATATCAAAACGAATCTAAAATCCGATTTCAAACACAAATCGATTCGTATAGATTGCTCAAACTAGAAAATCCGATTTCAAAAATCGACCTAACTAGCTAAACTCTTACGATCTGTACAACCAAACCAATCCAAATCGAAAATAAAATCGACAGTATCCAAATTTAAGTGCAAACTGTGGCGTAGAAATCCAAATCCGTTTTTTCAGTGTCTCTCTCAATGACGTGAAGTTTAAGATTCAGATTCGGTTTGGCAGCTATGGAATATCGAAATTTTATTACACATTGAGATATGGGATCAATTTATCCTTACTGCTTAGTACGTAAAGTCTATATTGGCTTTGCGAGATTATGCATTGCTGAATTTTTGGTTCAGTGTGCGATCAATATCATTCTTATTGTTAAGTCGTATAAGGCTATATTTGCGAGATTGTGTGATGATTTATTTTTGTTTTTAGTTAAGTGTTTGCTTACTTAAAATAATTTTTTGTTTTCATGTTGTTATGTTTTAAACTTTAGACGTAAATTTAATCCTGGTGACAACTGCTCGCATGCCGGACAGTCGTAACAGTGTATTGTATTATATTATTTACTGATATTTATTGCCTTAATACCTTTTTGTTTAATAAATATATGAAAAAAGTTTAATTTACAGGAGCGAATTGTCGTTGTGTGTACGTTTTAAGTGAGTAAGTTATTGATCATAAAATAATTTATCCGCATTTGTCGGAAATATATCGCTCAAAATGCAATATTATCGCGACATCCATTCCGTGCGAACGAATTTTTTCAAAGACGAGATTAATAATAAATGAAAAGAGGTGTCGTCTAAAGTCATCAAAAGTGGAGCAAATTGCGTTTTTAAAAAAAGCGAAAAGAAACCAAAAAAAATAATAATAAGAAATCATTGTAAATATACCGATTCTTAAATGCGCCAGAAAAGTTCTAATTTCATACAAATTTTTTCTGCTAGTCCTAAGCCTAAAGCATGAAGGATAATCTCGCAAATCTGTTTCTTTCTTCTTTAGTTATATTTGCGTTTGTCGTTTTGTTAACTTATAAAACGAAATATAAGTACACAAACGAATTGGCGTGGCTAAGCGATACTGAAATCGGATTTTTAAAAACAGATTTTGAAATCTGAAATCGGATAAATATCGGTTTGCGTTCAAATCCAAAAACGCCCATACCTAGTTTGGAATGGTAGGTGAAATACATATATCAACATGGGTGCAGTCAATAGCCCTATGAATATCTAGCAGACCATGCTCTGCTAGGTATCTTTTAGGAAATTAATCTACTCATTGTAAAAATTTGTGGCTGTCCCGTACTGTTAAAAGTACATTAACAATGTTGAAGACTTCTTTAGACATTTTATACCCTTTTCTTAAAGGATAGGGTGACAAACGAGCACACAGTCCACCTGATGGTAAGTGGATACTGTGGCCCATAAACATCTATATCTATCCTTGATTACAAATCAAAATGCAGATGCATTGTCACCCATGAGGACTAAGATGGAATGCCTCGTTTCCAGTAAAAATGGTCTCTGGTTCTCTACACTCACCATACAAAACTCAGCAGCATTAAGCTACTATTTTACGCTGGTGGAGTGTGGTCCTTCCCCAGTCAAGCCGACCCATTCTTGCTACAACTATACTACTAATATAACTGCAGCATGGCTCTATCACATATAAAAGAAAATGTGATCAGATTAAAATATGTTGTTAAAATACAATAAGTAATAAAATAAGTAAGTCCAAGTAATATTAATTTGAATAAAAAAAGAACCATCAAAACCGGTAGTAGGTAGTTTCATGCATTACCCATCTGTATGGTTCACTTTTCATTATCTATGATTTTCATATAGAAATGGCAGCCACGTAGCAGCGGCAGTAAACAGTAAAAAAAATTAACAAATACAATTAATCACATTGGAAAAAAAACATTCATTAAAAATTCATGATTTCTTAAATTTAGGCCATCTAGCTTCTATTTTACGTACCACCTTGGGTGTCCATCAGTTTTTTGATAAGATGACTACCATACAATGAAGTAGGTGGCGCTATTATAATTTTATTATAAAGAAAATATAATATCTATGGGTCTAATGTATATATTAAAAGGATTGTTACATTTATTTACTATAAAATTAAATTTTCTTATATTTTATGCCGAACTTGTTGTTAAAATTATAATATTAAATAAATCATTTGCTGTAAAGTATTTGTATTTAATATTTCATTTCATTTGAAGGTTTCACTTCTGTCACATGTGAGCTGCACGCATGTTTTTTTTTAATTGCATATACTGCATTCATGTTTTACATCAGGATTATATTTAAAAGCAAGTTTTATTCTCTGGATTATTTCAATTTTTAAAATAGTAAAACAGAAAATTATGCTTACTTGGATTATGACAGCAAATACCATACCAAAGGCTAGATGCGATCGTAGAGGCACAACTGCGAACCATATTAGTGACGAGACCAGGAATGAAAGCAACCAACCAAATGCGGCTGCTATCATTATGATGATGCGGACAGGATCGTTAGCGATCGTTAGTGCGAACATTGCTAACGGAGGACCGAAAGCCAGTAATGAACAACTAAAAAATTCTGCGAGAGTCATCTCCGTTGTCTGTTCTATTTATCTACAATTTCTAAACCTTAAACTTTTTAAAATCCTTTATCGAGTGAAATGGTGTATAATTTCTGTCATAATGCACAAAAGCTTTAGTTTTTAACAACACTGTTACTATAATTATATATTTTTGTTTCGACACAGATTTAATTCAAATTGAAAAACAAAATAGAGAAGCTTGAAAATTGTACATAATAAAAGGAAAACCTAATTGATAATGTCAAATGTCAATTTCAGTTATATGTGAATGTCAGTGTCACAGTCTCACAGCTGGCCATAGCCAATAGCCATACTCCTTATTAGTTTGTGGCTTTGTGGTCATACCGGAGACAGAGAAACCTAAAGACTACGTTAGTACTCTTATTATAAGTATATAGTTTGTGTCTAAAGACTAATGATTAGCGTGGTGTCGAGTGAGAAAGGACGATAACGTAGTCTTAGGTTATACAATAATCTTTTTGACTTTTAAACATATTGAGATAAAAAATTTAATTGTTCTAAGAACTGAACTGAACATGATTCACCAATCTTAAGGTTACAAAACACTTTTTTCTCACTTAAACCAACTTGTAAACTCCTTAGATCGCTACGAACTGTCAAAGTTGTTTAGCAAAGTGTAGTTTGTTAAACAAAAAAACCCGCACGGAGAAAGGGACGAACAATCACACCACTCTGTCCCATTTCTATCCAAGACGTATGCATAAATCTATCTTTTTCGTGTGCGAATGCGAAAGAAGGCGTCAATTTGTCTATAGGTTTCTCTGTCTACGGGTCATACTCATAGCACAAACTAATAAGAGTACCTACTAACCACGTTAGTACTCTTATTAGTTTGTGGTACTAACGTATACTCATAGTCTACTTTCGAGTATAGAAAATTGAAAATAGAAAAGCGAAGTCTATGACTCAAAACAATCTCATGGATTATTACATAGATTTAGTATAAACTCCACAGATTGGCAACTACTACCAACAAACGAGACTAAAAACTGATTGTCTTTTTGTGTGTAGATTGTCAATAAGTGGGTAAGGCCGTGTAATTATGTACGTAGTAACTCCTGAGACATTAACAAATTAGTAACACACGGTAACGCAGTAACGCTCGCGACCCATCTAAAGCTAGGCCTACAATGTAACAAACTAATGCAGCCATCAACTTATGTTGGTTGTTGAATTCGTTATTCTTTTTTTTTTACATGTTCTGCACTGTTTTATAAAGTAAAATATAATTTCGATGGTTATTTAGAAATAATAAAAAAGACTCGCAGCATTTTTAATAACAGGTAAAAAAGATTGAAATCATGCTATTAATCTAAACAAACTATTAGTTGTTTGTTATGGTTATGAGCGTGACCTTTTATGCCGATTCTGCTTGATGCACAATTATCAATCAAATCTTAAGATGAACATTATGTATTCTTATTTCCATTAGTAAAATTTATCGGCATAGAAGAAAACTGAATAATCGTATATTGGGTACCATCAACTAAATTCTATTACAATAAATTTTACAATTTTTTTTACATAAAATAAACACTAATATGTTTATGTTTTTAAAATATGACAGTTTTTCAGTCCCATTGAGAGCTTTCAAATCACAATAAGTTCTTCTTATACAAAGTAAACTCTATCACAACTTTCATTTTTAAGAAGTACTCTTTCGAACTAAATGTTAGCTCAACTTTCTTAACAACATTTGATGTAGGAACAATATCTCTGTCGACTTTTTTAGTTTTACAAATTTAAATGGATTATTAACAGTTTTTAAAAAAATTATGCAATAAAATGTCTCAACCTCTTCATTTACGACTTTTTCAATAAAACCTACATAGAACTTCCAAGATTTTTTTTTCGTAATACTTAACAATCACACTGTCACCTTCTTTATTTTCAACTATTTCAACGGTTTCTTTTTCATTAAAGATTCGTAGCCCTTTTCCTCCTTTAGTTTGAATATTGTTACATTTCTTATTTTCTTCTGTTCTTGTACTGTATTTGTGATTCCCGTGATCCTGTTTTCTACTTCAACTAATTTTTCCGTTTTTCCGGTCTTGTTTTCTGATTTTATTTGAACTAAATCCACGGTTTGCTTAGTTTTGTTTTCTTCTTCAATGGTATTATTTTCTGCTGTTATAATTCTGTTTTCCTCAATTTTAATTCAATTTTCAAACTCTGTTTTCGGTTTTCAGGTAAGAATATAACGTCGGATAGGATTGTGACTTTATTTTTATTAGTGACATTTTCTTTATTTGTGATTCTCATCTTTTTCTCAAGTGGTTTCTTTTCTGAGTTACTGTCTCCTTTCCGTTTATTATTCATAAGCTCTTGTTTGTTATAAAGCACATGAGATTTGATATTTAAGCAATTGCAGAAACTTTTAAAAGTTTCTGTAGTTGTATTGAAACAAAAACAACTAAGGCATCGGAATTTGATACTGTTCTGTAGTTCTGATGAATCTGTATTGTTGACAATTTGATGCAAAGACATCGTTTGAGGTACCGGTATCAGGTTTTCTTTTACAGAGTAGGTTTTAATAGCGTCTTGTGATATACAAAAGATTAGTATTGTAGTATCCGATTTCTGCAAAACTTCGTAAGCCGTTTCAGCATTTGGTATGTCAACGCCTTGTGAAATAACATTATCAAGGCGCCGTTTTATTGCCGCACCCACTCCATCAGCCGCTCCTTTTCCATGCGACGCCTCGCTAAAATTCCAGGAGGAGTAAAGGAATCCTTTTTCTTTTGTGAGTTTCGAAAATAAGAAAAAAATTCTTCTGTTTATATTGGCTTGTTGGGCCATCCGAAAAGAAGTGAATCCCTACAACATTCGGAAATTCTGTCCTAACGTAAGCTAATACCGGCTCTAAATGTGCCTAAATTGCTTCTGGGCTATGCTCGTTATTGGGCGAAATGGACGCAAATATCTGGGGCTGCCTTTCTTTGGTATATAGGACTCCAGTATGTATGGTGAGTTGGGACTTTGATGCCCCCCAGTTCATAGACTGCACTTCTTTTGTTAGTTTACAGGTATAACTTTCGGAGAAGTCAATATGCACTGCAACTTCATGTACTGTTAAATTTTTTATGCAAGTTAAGTACTGTGAATATTGATTTTTAATATTATATACGTGTTTCTTGAATGTCTTTAGGTCATTATTACACAAATTTGTTAGTTTAACCATTGTGCTATTAATTCCTTTTTTTTACAATTTTTTCGGTACTTTTGTTTGTTCCGTCACTTTTATCCATATATTCGTGTTTCTCACGTACAAATTTTTCCCAAGTAACAACCTCATCGCGACTGTGAGCATCCCAATCAAAAATAATATCGGCGTTGCGGCATGTGGCACACTCTCCATAGGCACATTCCTTTGAGTTAAGATCACACACTACTCTTGTTAATATTTCGTCGAGATTTTTGGTGTCAATTAATCCTGAAGCGTATAGCTCGTCGGTTTTAAGTTTTAAGTTTTCATGTTTTATGCATCCGCATGTGTCCCGATCAGAAAATTTTGGACGTAACACATAGAATGGCTTATGTTTCTTGAATGAAGAGAATTTTGCTATACCGCCTTCGTTTTTGTATTGTTTATCTTTAATGTTTTGAGTAAATACCTTCTCTGTCTTTTTTTTCTTTGAAGTTTTAACCTCTTTTTTTCCCGCCGTCGCTCTACTTACATCGTCTCTTTCGTAAAATTGCTGTATTTCTTCCACCATTTTTTTATATCTTCGATCTGTATATGCTTTATTGCGCCGTGCTCTTCCTTTTAACCCCAGTATGAATGTCAATTTACGCTTTTTCCTATATTTTTTCACAACTTCGATTTCTGTCATTTTTTTGAAAATGTTACGTTCATCATTGCTCTTTGTGTCCTTATAAGCATTTTGTATCACATTTGTCAAAATATTGTGCTCTAAAAGAACCCTTTTCACTTTATCTTTTTCTTCATTTGTGATATTTGGTAAATTTTCTTCTATAAATGAACAAGTTTTGGATAGAGGTGTTACATTTTGATTTAATTTTGGTATTGTGTTTTTTTTCTTCTGATTGCATTAGCAAAAGTTTCTGTAATTGAGTATTTTTTTTGGGTCAATGGATTGTTTTGCTTCCGAAGTTTGTCGATTTTTTTTGCCTAGTAGTTTTATCCTTTCTTCATATTGATTCACATTCTGTAAATTTTTTTCTTTCTCTTTTTATTTTCAGGTCAATGGATTTTTCCTGTCGATTATCACAAGGCCCATCCAAATTTTCATTGACAGGATTTCCTTTTCTCTTTCTTCTTTCTTGTTTCTCATTTTCTCTCCATTTAAGTCTTTGTTTGACATTTTTTTCTTCTACAAGCCCTTTTTTTATGTTCTCTCTATACATCCTGTTTCGGTCTGCATTTTTTTTAGAACTTCAGAAAAATTTTCAGGATTACTCTTCCGCATACGGTCTCTATATCTCTTTTGTTTCTCGGCGGCCGATAACGGAGCCATCTGAAAAGATGAAATAACATACCCATTCACCATACGATACAATGTTATGATAATAATATACTTTTAGATTAGATGTTCGAATAGAAACCAGTTAATCCATCTATGTACACTAATAAAAAGGAAAAAAAAACAACAAGTTTCTATTGTATATATAGCTACAAAACAAATATAGAAGAAAGAAAGTCAGTTGGCCAACAGAGAAGAAAAAGGTCCTGAACTATTTTGTTTTTGCCTATTTAGGTAGGCACATATTTTATAGATTTAAAAAAGGTTATTTTTAGCCCTTTATTTTTCGTGCGGTTAAAAACCTCAAGAGCAGCCAAAATTCATCATTTATTACGAAAAAAAAATTGTATTTATAAAGCAAAAAGTTGATTAAATAAAAATCTAAAAATCTCTCGTGAATGTAAACTCTGCCTAAAATATGTCCCGAGTGTTACGTAACTCTCTTAG